GAAACCAAGACCTAAATGCTCTCACTGTGGCTATCCACACCCTTCAGACAAATGCTACCAGGTTTATGGTTATCCACCTAACTGGATTGGTCCCAAAGGTCCTAGAATTCATCCCAAACATTCAGCCAATCTCACTCTTGCCACACCCAATCCTGAGACTGTTCCCACTCCCACTACTGATGCATCTTCCATGACTAATGAGCTCTTTCTTGAGTTTTTAGCTTTTAAAAAGAATCAGGAGGCTAAATCTACCACAAAACCAATGGTGGCTACTGCTGTTCATAATGCTTCAGGTACCCCTAATCCATTCTTATGCACTGTGTCTAGAAATTTTACCAAAAATACTTGGATCATTGACACCGGGGCAACTGATCATATGATATGTGATGCTAGTTTATTTACTAATCTCAAACCTGCTACCAATGTTAAAATCAATTTACCCAATGGTAACACAACTGAAGCATGTGCAATTGGTACAGTTATTTTATCTCCTACATTAGTTCTGCATGATGCATTGCTTGTCCCTAATTTCACATTCAACCTAGTCTCAGTCTCTAAGCTAGTATCAACATCAAATTGTATGATTCAGTTCATGTCATCACATTGCATGTTACAGGATTTGACCACTCTCAAACTGATTGGTTCTGCTGACTTAAAAGATGGCCTCTACCATCTGACTTTGCCTGATTCTTCTCCTAACTCTTGTATCTCTGCTAATAATACTTCTTCATGCAATTTACATGTAAACTCTCCTTTACCTGTAAATCATAGCTCTATGAACAATACTTTGTGGCATCACAGACTGGGACACTTTTCATACAATAAATTGATGCATTTACCTATGGTTGATTCTTCATGTTCATCTATGAGTTCATTACCATGTGATACATGTCATTATGCTCGGCAAAAAAGGTTACCTTTCCCCATCAGTGAATCAAAATCTTCTTTCATCTTTGAACTCATTCACTGTGATGTTTGGGGACCTTTCTCTGTTATTTCTCATGAAGGATACAAATACTTTTTAACTATAGTTGATGATTTTAGCAGAACTACCTGGATATACCCTCTTAAAGCTAAATCTGATACTAAAAACAGTCTCACTCATTTTTATAACATGGTTTTAAACCAATTTCAAAAACAAATAAAAACCATTAGAACTGATAATGGGACTGAATTCTTTCTTACTGATTTCTACCACTCTAATGGCATCATTCATCAAACCACTTGTGTTGAGACTCCTCAACAAAATGGTAGAGTAGAAAGAAAACATCAACATTTATTGCAAGTAGCCAGAGCCATTATGTTTCATGCTCATTTACCTACTATTTTCTGGCTAGATTGTATTTCAGCTGCTGCTCATATAATAAACAGAGTGCCTTCTGTTATTTTACAAAACAAATCTCCTTTTGAAATTTTAAACCAAAAGCCACTTACCTACACTCATCTCAAGGTAATTGGCAGTTTATGTTATGCATCCACTCTAGTTGCAAACAGAGGTAAGTTTGATTCCAGGGCTTCTAAGTGCATAATTCTTGGCTATCCTATAGGTTGTAAAGGTTATAAATTTTACAACCTTGATACCAAGAAGACATTAATTTCCAGAAATGTGCAATTTTATGAGACTGTTCTTCCTTTTAAAAACATTGACTCCCCCATCTCTAATGATACTTTTGACAACTTATTTCCTTTACCTGAACCATTTCCTTTTGAAAAGGAACCTATTCCACATAACACCTCTCCTGTGATACAAAATCCCACCATACAAAATCTTGATATACAGAATCCCACATCCATTTTATCCTCTCCTTCAGCCTCCACATCTCATCCTCAATCCACTCACTCACAATCCGAAACAAATACTTCCCTTCCAACACACATCAGAAAGTCCACAAGGCATTCTAAACCACCTGCCTATCTTGACATATATAAGCATTCTCTCCCTTCATCCACATCCAAATCTAATTCAGCCATATCTTCTCAATGCACATCTGGAACATCCCTTTACCCTATTTCAGATTATCTGTCCACTAATTCTTTATCTACATTACACTCATGTTTCACTGCA